GAGTACCATCTGCGTGGCGGGCGTGGGTGGGGGTCTTTGGAGTGGGGGTAAACAGTTTTACGTTTTTTTTTTTACGGTTTACCGTAACCGTTTAGTTAATTTTTGCCATTTAGTTTTTTTTAATGCTATTTAAAAAAGAAAAAAAAAAAACTCCAGTACACTTCTGTATAGGGCTGGGCGATATGAAATGTATATTTTAGTCAGAGTTATTGCGCTCCTATTTCATTGAGCTCTGTCTGTTTGGCACACATGCGCGCGGCGGCGCTCGTTCTAAATGAAGTCTGTGGAGTTTAGCGGAGAATCGCAAAGCAAAAGCTCATGCACTTCTGACAGCAAAATGGAAATATTTCCATGGCTTTTTTAACATTTACAGATGGAGAATATACCTGTGAAATGTAAGTTATGCATTAAGGAAAACAGCACATCTCAAACACATTAAACAGCGCGCCTTTGTCAGCCTCACACGCAGCCTTTTCTGTCAGAGCATCTGACGGGGCGAGCGCGAGCCGCTTTGAATTGAAACTATATTGTCAGAGCATCTGACGGGGCGAGAGCGAGCCGCTTTGAACTGAAACTATAAACTATAGGCTACTAGGAGAGAAATAAAACGCAGAAATTATTTAAATGCAAAACCAAAAAAAAAAAAACGCATAACTCTTCATTTTTTTTCTGTTGCTTGTTTTGAATACTGCGCGTGGACAGAGGCGTCACCAGATTTTTGCATAGTTTAGAGTGACAAATCGTACCAGCGTACTTTGAGGTCAAAATGCGTAGCCGCTACGCGAAATGCGTACAGGTTGGCAGGTCTGATATCGGAGCAGCTTTCCAGCGGTGGAGAGAACTCAAGGAGCGGGAAGGCCTGTAATCAGATGTCGGGGTTGCTTTGTTTTTTCTTGATAGGTGAGATACGTTGATGTTTACATTGAATTACCATAATAACACGCACCACTTTCACTTATTGATGACATCATACCCTCGGCCGGCAGATTACTCCATCGTCGCTGCCAGCGTTGTGTATGTACGTGTGGGGCAGAGTTTTAAAAAAATGTGCGCAGTCCTGTTGGGGTATGGGCGTGTCTGTTTTGGTGATTTCAAATGTCAACATCGTTTGGCAAAATTCGCTTAGTGCACCTTATACATACTCAAGATATGTTTTATTCAACATATACATACGTATTGAAAATTTCTTTAAAAGAAAATATCTCCCTTTGTATTGAACTTTGAGTGTTGTAACTTGCAGACGTTGTTTATGCTCTAACAGCAACATTACACACTAACTAAAGTTAAAAAAGTGAAATAATTAACCACCCCTTTAAGACCTCAGTTTCTTTCTTCTGTTGGTCAAAAGAAATTATGAAGAATGTTGGTAGCCAAACTGCAGCCATTAACTTATATACTATGGAAGTCAATGGCTAACGTCAACTGTTTCATTACACACATTCTTCAAAATATCTTCCCTCTTGAAGGTGAGTAAAAGACAGAATTGTCATTTTTGGGTGAACTACCCTTTAAGACACTGACCTGTGGGTTTTCCTGATCCTGCATACACTGAACCAACATACGCTTGATCACTTCCAGATAATGCTGCTGCTGATTGCCAAAGATACCTGGGAAGTTCCTGTATGATGAAACAGTTCAGAAACAGAATTCAGAATGTACTTTTACAACAAACTTATCCTGAATCAGTTTTGGGGAAGCAACTGAAACTGCAGTTGCTAAAATGTAAAGTTTACACACCAGAAAATGTGCAGTGCTGCTTCTCGGAGGTTGACGTCCTGAGAGTTGACCGAATCGAACAGGAACTTGAGGATCTCTGGCCACTGATTGTTTCCGTCATCATCTTGGAATAAAAACACAAGGCATTAGTTCACATTGACTCCATTCGGCGTGGCTGAACCGAAGTACGTGTTAACCAAGAGTTGACTAACCAATTAGATTGCGAGCGAGCTCCGCAGCAATATCGCAGACCTTCTTGCGGATGTTGGAGGAGCCTTCGGACTGGATTCCAGCGAGCAGCTCTGTCTTGATGGCCGTCTGCATGTCGATGGCCAGGCTGGGATAGACCTCCTCGAAAGACGAGGACAGCAGGCGCCGCAGCAGCACAGCTGCCATCTGCTTAACCTGTGGAGACACATTTGAGAGTTTTAGACACCATTTTTGCAGGGATGTGCTTTGGAAATAAAGCCGCAGGTTGAAATGTGGGACTTAAAAGTTCAAGGAAAACAGATGAACCGTTAGAGGGAAGTTTACAACTACAGGGTTGACTAATGACTGCAACTTCCTGTCCAGGTGGAGACTGCAGACCTGCCAACCTCGGAATTATTATTTTTTTCTTTAGTACCATCAGTGTGGCCGGGGCAAATTGCAAGATTTAATGTTAAATATTTTTTTATAGGCTAATAATCAGGGTCTGCACTCAGTTTGTGATATTCCTGTTATACAGTATTTTAGAATAAAAAGTAGGGATGCAACAATACAGTTAAGCCCACGGTTCAATAAATACCTCAGTTTTTTTTTTACCAGTTTTTGGTTGTTATTTTTTGCTATTTAAAAAAAAATAGTATTATTTTTTTGGATTGGCCGTTTTTTTAGTGCTATGAACATGTAATGTGTGTTTCATTCACACTGGACGCCTGAGGGTGCCCTCGCGCAGAAAATCCACATATACATTATAAAAGAAATAGAACTCAGGACGCTCCAGAAAATCCCTAATAAGGACAAAAAACAGCCAGCTATCGCTGTAACTGAATAAAAGACAAACTCTTTGAATGACATTCAAAAAGAACATTAAGGGTGCTTTCACACTTGGTTCGATTGCTTGGTCCGAACCAGAGTTCGATTGCTCCCCCCTCCCCCTGCCCCCGCTGGACTGTGTTCACATTATATTATTTGGGTCCGAACCGCGGTTCGTTTGCGTCATCAAGCCAGCAGCTGTTTACCCCGTTGCTTAGTAACAATGGAGCAGGAGAAGACGGCAAAATGTGTAGCATTGCTCTCTTCAATTTTATATTTATGCTTTTGAACCGTTGGTTTTGTTTCCAAAGCTTCAGTACATAACGGCACTTACGTCTGCCTTATGCAAATGCTCTAAAGAACTCTGAAGGCGAACAGAAATGAGATATACAGCTCTCTGCTTGCAGCGCGTCAGTCACGCTCGTCAGGAAAGTGAGCGAAACACACACAAACACACATTTTTATCAAATAATACGTCATTAATAGCGGTTCACTTCCGTGATTTGGTACGATTGCGTTCACATCAGCAGCGAACCGTTATTTGAGAGGATGATATGACTGCTTTAAACCAAACCAAAGTTAATAAGATGCAAACCTACCAACCAAATTTGTTTAAGTACCATTAGTGTGGCCGAGGGGCTTCACACTGAGGTTGCAAGATTTAATGTTAAATATTTTTTATAGGTTAATAATCAGGGTCTGCACTCAGTTTGTGATATTCCTGTTATACAGTATTTTAGAATAAAAAGTAGGGATGCAACAATACAGTTAAGCCCACGGTTCAATAAATACCTCAGTTTTTTTTTTACCAGTTTTTGGTTGTTATTTTTTGCTATTTAAAAAAAAATAGTATTATTTTTTTGGATTGGCCGTTTTTTTAGTGCTATGAACATGTAATGTGTGTTTCATTCACACTGTTAAACCGTTATTCCAGTGTAGAATTTATTTCTGCGTCATTCTGTGATAAGAAGCCACATCAGATCAAGAGGGAAATTATTTTAAATATTTGTCTGATGTTGTGCAGTAAAAGAATGTTATAATGTTCTTTTTTGTTGTTGGACAAAAGGTTTAGTCATTACAAGGGAAGATGCTCGGCGTGTGTTTCTTTTTCAGATGCAGGCGTTTTCTCATCTCCGCGCGCAGACTAGGGGTCGACCGATTATCGGCGCTGATATTAAGCATTTTTATGATTATCGGTATCGGTCATTTTCA